CCTGCTCACAGAAAGCTGGCCCTAGTCGCGAGGCAGGACTGATTAGGTGCTAACATTTAAGGTCACTTCGCACCTCCTCGCTCGCGACGCAGCACTAATTAGGTGCTAGAATTCCAATTCGTACGCACTTGAGACACACGCTGACAAGATTGGATACGTATCGATTGAAATCGCTGGAGAGTAGTAGATTGGGCGACTTCAAGCGAATAGATCAATACATATCTAATCTTGTCAGCGCACTATCCTAATCTACTACTATCCTAATCTCCTACTCTACTACTATCCTACTATCGTAATATCGCAATCTACTACTCTCCGGCGATTTCAATCGATACGTATCTAATCTTGTCAGCGCAATCTCCTACTCTACTACTATCCTAATCTACTACTATCCTAATCTCCCGTCAATACATATGTTTTTCATTGTCGCGTACTATCCTAATCTCCGAGTCGCGAACTATGAACGCGGCCTAATAGCCCTCTAACCGACGACATGAGAAGAATTTCCCACGGTTACATGGGGTACGGTTCGAGTCCAGTCCGACTTATCGTGGACCATTACGACGTCTGAAACACTTGCTGTAAGGGGCATTGCATAGATAAAACTCCTACCTCTGAGAAGCTATCCATCAACTAACCGTATGAAGAAATCATACAGCTGTTTCAGGCTTTAGAATTGACAGAAGGCCTTTTTGAACTCGACGGCGATCGTAGTTCACGTAGTATTCTGAAGACCGTGAAGGCAGTGAACAGGAGTTTGCATCTGTGTATAGGGAAACATTTTAAGAATACTTTGCCGATAGTCTTCCATCGCTCACGGCAACCTATGCGAGCTAAAGCTCTGATATGCGCTATGAGCAGAGTGTCGCTTTTTGTCACCCCAGTAATTTTTCTCCTTCAGAAAACGAGCATTCAAGCGGAAGAACTAGTGATTGGTTGGTGTATCATACGTGAATTCCGAATATTGTGACGGGAGGAACCATAAAACCGAGTTTTTGCATAGTATTCTGTTTTTTTGCTCGTAACATGTGGGTTGCGACCTGCCGCGCAGCGGAAAATTTTCATCCATTGGAAGCCTCAACTTCGCGATATCCGAAGCAAGTCTACGCAGCTGCAAGCACTAGAGGTCTGCGCTAGCAGTGGTGGTATCGGTTGATGTCTGTAGTGATGCAATTCAAAAATCGGAGAGCGGAGACTACTTTGACTGAAGGTCACCTCTTAGAGCTCGCTGCTATGCTGCTTGCCACCACTGATTCATTTGTTTATCGCTCAAATAGACTGTACAGTCTTAACCCTAGTGACCCCTTGCCAAGCTAATCGAAACTACGACTTTTAGGAAGGAAACTCAGATGTTCACATTCTTAAGATCCAACAACGTGCCAATAAGCAACCTAATTCATTACGAGAAATTGAGGATGAGATTTCACTCTTCCCACTCACAAAATTGTTTTCGTGGCTCAAAGGCAGCGCTTGGGCTCCGGTATAAACTGGAGGCCGCGCAACTTGATGTGTACTGTCCCACTGGGTGTCTTTCAAACGCTCGCGCGCAAGGAGGTCTTTAACTTTGGGCGTATCGGGGTTCTTGCTCTTTTTTTTCCAGACCGGTCCCCACCTCCAGCTTCATTACTGAACGCTCATCCACATCCATCTTATCTTGGAGCTTGCCTTCAAAACAGAGCGAACAGAGAACAGAACTGTGCACCCAATACGGCTCGTCACGCCATCATCCCCCGTTCCGCGTCACTTTGCTGGTGCAGCAGTGCTGAGGAACATGAAAATTCCTTTATTCCACGGAAGCGTAATGAAATACTCGAACTTTCAATTTGCTTAGAAGCTCTAATTGGTTTAGCCATATCTTATCTATTAGCTTTAGCATATCAACCTGAACCATCTCCTTCACCTGTGTCACAGGCTCATCACCTTTCGTTACGCAAAGCATGGATGCCTACCGCGTAGAACTCTTTCTGGTTCGACTCGAAGAAGTTGGGCACTCAAATTTTGACGTCGTCGCGGTTATCGAATTGGTTTGCTGCTAAGGAGTGTTGCGCTGACCTGGGTCAGTGATAGTCGGACGGCGCCAGACCTGGGCTATATGGCGCGAGAGGTAGAGCGTCCCAGCCCAACTCCTCGATTTCTTGTTGCGTGATTTTCACGACATGTGGTCTTCCGTTATGGTGCAATAGTTTTACATTTGGCCGAATTCACCCCTTGACGACGCAGAGCTCGGTCCACGCGGGCGGGCTGTTGTGCGCAGGCTTCAGCTGTAACTGTCTGACCCACAATCAGCTCTCCATAGTAGGCCAGTCTTATACTGTTCCACCACACCGTAGCACGACTTTTTCTCAGTGGATGTCCGGTTTCAGAGAGGCCCTCAGCTGCCCATCAGCCGCCAACCACGGTCATCTTCTCGCGTTGTTATTGGGAAACATCTCTTTGTAAAATGCGGTCAACACGAAGTCAAGAACCTTTTTCCTCTTGAAGTTATGGAGCGAAGTTCCAGTATTGGCAACCAGTACTGCTTGCTCGCGTCGCTCAGAATAGGCCGAACCCATTTTCTATCCTGAAAGGCCTTAACAGTCGCACGTAGGAACTTTTAAATTTTTCTGTTGACACAACTGAATCTCCATGCAAGTTTTGTGCGGTTTGTCGAGGACTCAATTCGTTGGCTTTCTTTATTTCTCCGTCATCTAGAGCTAGAGGTCAAAATCCACGATCTTCGTCCTCAGGTCCTTTACCTCAGTCTTGGAAGAGCTGAAACCATAGCTGCATCAGAGACTAAGTGTTACTGCTCAATGTTTTGCACACAATGAGTGAGGATTCGTTGGCCGTTTTTCCTTGCTTGAATATATACGCTCAGACGATGATTTCTGATCAGTCATCTTCGAGCAAAAGTTTTGGCTCGAAGAACATCCGCTCAGTGGCGCCTAAGATTTCGCAATATGCGTGGTAAATCGCTCTCACGAAGGAAGCGAGGTGTGACGACTTCACGACGGAAGGTGCGCTGGCTTCAAAATATAGGACTACTTCCCTTAAATTCCTGCATTTTTTCAGCATCAAGCTGATCACTAGAGACACAACATCAAGTTCACGCACAAGGATTCGGGTTCCGAAAAAAAATTGATGAAAACTCTACACTTATGACATTCGAAAGTAAGTGGGCTACGGAAGGCCAAAGGCGGCATGGAAAAGAAGGTGCGGCTTGGGCGTGACACAGTATCCATCGAACCAATCAAGGCAACTCCCATTAAAATGCACTCCGATTCTGGCAATAGAGGCAGAAAAAATTCGATAGAATATTGAATGGCAGAAAAGCGTGGGAATTAGTGCATTAAGTCACAACACGGTCAAAATCCTAGTAACTGCACTTCGCGAACCGGTGGGTACCAAACTAACGCGAAGCGTTCCCTCCCTCCAGCATTTGTGACAGAGTCCGCGGAAATTAACTGCGTAGGCAGTCTCGTTTCCGGTTCTTCAAAAATGTTTAATTCAAAACATCAGGCAATCTGTTCTTTCGTTTAGTATAAACCGTGAACGTAGGTCTGCAACGCGTGATTCCATCGTTGAAGTAGTAATCTGATTTTTCCCGCGGATATCCTTTTAACCAAACCAAGCGATCCACCCCACTAGCTTGATAGCCGATTTTGACAAGTCTTGTGTCGCCAGCAGTGAATCCCCTGATTAATTCCACTGATTTCTAAGCGCTTCTCACGTGTCCCACTAAAACGCGCAAGCGTTAAAAGCCGTAACAACCCTCCCATACATCCACCTCTCACAGCTACCCGCTTGAGCGAAATCAGGATCACTGGCCCCAAAAAACAAGGGGCATGTTTGCACTTCAATTGATCGGAATTCTTCACGTTTTTTTTTTTTGTCGCCTTGGCCGTACTTAAAGGCAAAAGTCGGGCTCAATAAGGGGGTATTATGGCGATTGAAACTGAGTATAGAGATGCGAAGTGGAACGACAGTGGAGAAAAAACTGAGAAAAACCGTCGACAAGGCCGTTAACAAAACCCTCTTTCCCACTAGCAGTGAAGGAGGCTGGCTTGGGGAAGAGGCACGTACAAACAAGTTTTCTGGAGATGTCAGTCGTTCTATCGGTTGATACGGCAATCAACCTAGTTGTTTCACACGTTATGCCAGCCACGCACCACTTCCGGAGGTGGGCGGTCCCGGATTGACGAGGCGGTCCCGGATTGAAACCGACGGCCCCGGGGGCTTAACGACGTTTTTCAAGGTGGAAAGTTGCTGCAATGTGTGCAGCTACCCACATACAACCTCCAGGCACGGGAATTACTTCTCTAGCGTGTCTGAGCCCGACCTTTGCCTTTAAGCAACACCATGTCCCCTGAAAATCTCTTCAGACCCTATCGTACGCTGCCTTTGAAGGAGGACCTCGGATCTTTGCGACTTGCTCTCTGCTTCAAGACCCACTAGGATGCTTTACACAATGGAATGCTGTAACGACGACTTTGAACGATAAATATTTCATCAGCATAACACAGTGTACACGTGAGTTTCAATCTGCTTGTATATTTACATCTAAAACGAAAATTGCTGAGAACTGAGGGCAAAACGAGGAATGACGGCATTTTTGTCGTCGAAAATCGAGTGAATCAACACTGTGGATCATCGAGACAATAACATACCTCAAATTATGTCACACTGGGTATCAAGTGGAGTGAGTAATGAAGGAGGAAAGAACACAGTGGAATGACAATAAAAAAGTGGCCAAATCGAGTAGATACATCAATGGGCAACTCGTCGAATGAGGGTGGTGGTGGAGGAGGGCACACTTACTACAACGAACTCTACGGAGATCTCAAGGAACGAAAGTGCACGGGCAAAAATCGCGCGCGCGGAGACAGTAAGGCGTACGACTAGACATTCACTGAAAGCATCGCGTGAACCGATGACAGACGGAAGAGAGGGCAGCATATCGAACAATGAAGATTATGTTGAACACCGGTGTTTGAATAGCCAAGTGAGCTGAGGAGAGACGTCTAGATGATGCTTGCTGGCAGCAAGTCAAAAGCATTTGTCGAGCGCTTCGTCGGCACGACTGGCGGCGCCACTCTCCTCAGTACTACTTCTTCGCCTATACAGGAATAGTCGCGGTTCGACAACGACCCCAACACTGCACCCTGAACAAAAATTGCAATAGCCATCTTTCATTCCGGTCGGCGATGCCATTATTTGCACTGTGAATAGAAATGAAAAAGCTTACCTCCGGTAGCGGAGGGGAATGAGTTGAGTTCCGAGTCGACGGAGTCGGCATACCGTAGTTGGTGTCGAGACCAGCAGTGAGAAGCATATCAGCACATTCCTTGAAGCCGCTGTTACGAGCATGCCAAAGCCCGGAGCGCCCCTGTTCGTCCAGCGCACGAATGTCGGCATTGTTCTGCAAATGGGAAGGTTCAATTATAAGCTTGAACGTTAAGTGAAAAACCCATGAAATGAAGAGAACAAAATAAGGAGGCACTGACCCATAGCAGCAACTGTAGAATAGCCAAGCTGCCAATACTGCACGCCAAATGAAGCGGCGATCGACGATCCCGAGTTCCGGACACTGTGGTGTTCACGTCCTCCGGAGACGCGCGAGCCAACAACAGTGACACTTCCGCGACGTCGCGTGCGATCACTGCTCCAACCAGTTGCGCGCCTACGGTGGCGTCGACACGCAGCGACGGCAAGAATCGCTTCGACTCGTACTTGTCGCGAATCCACGCTTCCTTCATTTCACTGAAAAATTATGAAATTTCTCTAGGGCTATTAGGCCTGCTAAAGGAATGAAAGAGAATATGCAACAGCACAAAGCAGAAAGAGGATGGAGCGAAATAGTCTGTTTAGATCCATTCTGGCAATTTTCCTTTTGGATTTCACAATATCCATGCCTTTAATCCATCGAGAAATGTAGTACTCTCTCCCCCACTTTTTTCCCACGCTATAGAATTCCTACCACCCAAGCATTTTAAAAACTTCGCCGGTCTTCATTCCGAGATTACAGCTAGCTAACTTTCACGTAGCACGACCAGTGAAGGGATTCTGCGATTTAAACAAAAAAGATACCTCACCTCACCCAAGAAGCGGAGCCATTTTCCCATGATTCTCCAAGCACGTGAATTACGACGATATTACGAACAGCATTTTTAAACCAATCTCAGTTGTTTTGTGCCTTTATCGAAGCCTTATGAAATAACTATGCGGCGCAAAGAACTAAAAGGGACACATTCCGGCGTTAACATACTCCTTACGGATACGTAAATATTTCAATTTCCATTTACTTATACTCAATTGTAGTCCAACATATGCGGCGGTGAGGCCACATGCCACTTACCCCGCCTTTGCTGCAACTATAAGGTACTTTCATATGAGTTATATGAACTAAAACCAACTCCAGGGCGGAAGTGGTGTAGTGGCAAGTGGCACGCTTACCACGCGAGCGGTCCGGGGATCAAATCCTGGGTCGTGAGTCGCCCGGGCCAACCAAGCCTTCCATCCCTCCGGGGTCGGTTAATTGGTACCAGACTTGTCTGGGAGGATAAAAAAAAACAAAAAAACATAAAAAACTGACTTGTACATCGGCTGGCCCCCGCAAGTCATTGTATAGGCCACATCGCATTCAAACGCCACTACGAATGTACAAATGGAAGTAGAATGCGTGCCGCATCCCAAAAAGGGATTGATCAACGGCAAATGCTTTATCCTTTTCCTTTATCCATCAACTCAACTTTGCCACCCTAAAGCAAATTTATCTCACGGGGAGATGTCATAATAGTAGAAATAAAGAAGTGAACATCGAATGAGTAAACCCTTACAGTGGGCTGTCCGGTTGTGGACGTCGATCGGACGGAGCGTGGTGCTCCCATAGCCGATTCGCAGCATCGTTGCCGATCGCTTGCATCACTGCTAAAAATTCCACAGGCCATGCATCCAATCGAGCGAACGCAACCCTAAACAAGTGTGGATAGAAGGAGCTAACGATACAATCCATTAAGACACAGAGCCCATAAGCTTTTGAAATATTGAGCTCACCGTGAAATATGAGACCCAAGATTCCGATGAGTTCCAGAACACTCGATGCATATCAAAATGCCAAGATTGAGGCTTGCCCAATCAGGTGACGTTTGGCCGCAATCCGCACAACGGTCGTTGCCGGGCAGCTGGCGAAGGGCCAACACCTAAATTGTAAATATAGAATTGAATTATACGAAATACGAAGCGTACTCTTATGAATATTCAAAACATCAGATTCAAAAAACGAAATCGCGTAAAAGGCCAACCTCTTCCCTGTCGCCTCGGGCTCTTGTACTAGGCTTGCTCATCTGATTTTGGAGCGCTTTTTCGATTTGCTCCTCAATCGCTGCCACCCACGCGTCACGTTCATCAGCTGCCACGCAAAACTCCCATCGCTTCTGGTCAGAAGTGATGATCTGGAACCATAATGCATTAGGCTCAATTGCACACATGATAAGGTGAAATGATGTAAAGATGGCCCTATGTACCCCTGCGGCCCCACTCCTCAAAAATGAGCGTTTTTTTTTATCGAAATTTGTCCATGACTATGGATCCGTCTAAGAGATTGCATCTCCCTCCCCGTTCCTTGGTATTTTGAATCAGCAAGCGAATAT